CTATAGCTCGCGTAAGTTGGTGTCGGCGAATCCGTAACGAGGCAGTTAGAAAGCGTATTTTCGGTTGTGTAACGGGTACTTCCATTGAAGAATGTGTCCAGCATCAGAAGCTGCGTTGGTTGGGACATGTGTTACGTATGCCGAGCCATCGTTTGCCGAAGAGAGTGCTGTTTTCCATGCCCAACCCAGAGTTGGCGTAAACATAGAGGTGGCCAACCCCTGACTCGGCAGAGGATTATAAAGGAGATCACGGAACGCTTGGGTGGTGTCGGTGTTACTCGCCTTCCAGGATGGGGACCGCGTGGCCCTCACTGTGCCTGGTTGGAGACACTACAAGATATGGCTGCCAACCGATGTCAGTGGCGTTCTTGTTGTCGGTTTCTGTCCAGATTGCCTGAGTGAATGTCTGGAGGTGTAGGCACCTCTCTGGAGGTGTAGGCCCCTCGGAATGATTGTGGTAAGCTAGCACTAAGTCCCTCCCCGGTCCAATTTTACTCTTTTCTTTGCAATAAGGCTTTCAAATAAGTCATGGTTGTACGGCAGTGAAGCATCGGTGTTGAACACTGTAGTCATGCTGTCGATGATGATGATGATGTTGATGATGGATTTGTAACCTAACTGTAGAAATAATCATTCGATATCCCTGGAAATCCTTCGACATACAGTCATATTAACAGCTTCCATCAATGATCTGGTATGGGTTGCTTATCAGGTTAATGGTTATATTACTGAAAAAGAATTGTGCGTTATTGTCATCAAAACCGGAAAAAAGATATAGCAAAGCGTGATAAGTCATTTATTGAAACACTGATAAGCAATATCGCGTTGCATCGGTAAAATACCTATTTGTCCCATAATTTCATTTTGCTTTTGGTGCACCTTAAGGTTTGCCTAGCAGAAACAATCTCACTCACATCAATACACATCCTTATAATTTGCTGGAATTCACATCATGGCGGATTCAAATAAATAACTACGTCCGTTGTTGACAACACAACCGAAAAGCTGTAAATTTCCCTCACGATGTGTAGAAAATGCGGTGAATGCACCTTGTTTGCCAAATTTTCAGAAAAAGAGAACAGTTGCCCTTCCACTGAAGTGTCCCTCTCGGGGTTGTTCTATTATTTGCACGCTAGGTGAGAATCGGTCCAGCTGAGACGCTGATAATACGCAGTTGAACAGTTTGTAAAGTGTGAATAACAGCCTAGGCTCACAATACCAAAACACTTAAATCCATGTAATGTAGATTCACAATGTGCAATGCTGCCTAGTTTCGACACCCTGAGCCGGTGGTGACCTGCTCTCGTATGTTCCTTTCATTTTCATGGTTCAAGGGCTACAAATGAAGAGTGTGATTGAACCTGGCACTGCAGAAAGCATATAAGTTGTAAGGATCAAGGACTATTTTAAATAGACTTAAAACCTGCGCAAATACTGCCTAGAAACACCGATATTTACGACAAAATCGCCGACGAATTTTGCCATACCTCTTGGTTATCCGGTTAGGATAGCATAGAGTAGGCAGGCCACGTGAATGAGACCATGCACGGGTATTTTAATGACCATGATTTAATGTCCACTTAGGAGATTTCAGATTGGCGCCGCTGAACTAATCAAACTGTATTATAAGAAATAAAAAAGAAAAGTTGGAAACCGAAGTAACGTTTTATTCTTCCTGCACTGTAGACTAATTACTACGAAACGTCCTCTAGCAGTATGTCTGTCCGGTGTGGATTACTTTACATCAAGCTTTCGCTGTGCTAAGCAATCTCGGTGTGATTTGTGGGTAGTAAAGGTTTTAATTATTCACTCGCAAGATGAATTCATCCTTGATTTTATAAAGAATTGGTTAGGTTTGGATTACTTTTAGAAAAAATAATCTTTCCACCGTATTAGTTTATGCCAGTTTTTTGAACTGCGTAATTTGAAAACATGAAAGCTTGTACTTCGGAGCTCACCTATGTATAATCCCACCAATTGCAATTTACCCCATCAACTAATCACCCGCCAGCGTTATTTTGTCTACCACTGATTTAGGTATGTAAAGTCTTGGCGTTCAAAACATTTGCCAAACTGCAATCGAAACTGAATCAGCTAACCAAGCCAATTTACTTGTGGTTTTCCGGTATGATTTAACCTAGCAGCTGCTTGAGAACAGCTGCTTTAATGCCCAAAGTAAGAATACTGTTTTAGCACAGAACAGCTTCTTTCAGAGGGGAACAAGGCATTATTTCTGCTTTAGGGACAACAACCGGAAAGGTAGTGCACCCATCTATATGGATGAATTTACTGGCTGAATCGTCGTAAAATATCTACGTTTATCTGAACCCAAAAGGCAGTAGAAATAAATTATGGCTCACATCTTCTTATCCAGACACATTCAGAGATCTTCTGTGAAAGTATTTGTCTGCTCATAGTTACAACAAAGAAATTACCCTACCGGGTGCAACCCAACTGTCACGAGAAAAGCCTGGTTGCAAAGTCCCGTGAAGTTTGATGTCTCGTGGGACAAGCCTTGGTCGACATTTCTCACAAAATATTCGACTGTGTATACCAATGGCAGGTCTTTCTAAATCCACTAGGAAGATGAAAATTGGACCATCCCACACCTGTTCCCTTACGCGACAAGAGACATGTTACATTTACCTAGAAGTATTGTCATTTGTCCCTTATATGTAGGTTTGATTATTTTCACTGTGAAAAGTTAACATGACACATTTTTACTTGTGTAGTAATATATATATATATATATATATATACGTATGTGTATGCACATTACCACGACCAAACAAACGTGCAGCATAAAAGCACGGTATTTCCATGTCTCCATTTGGTTTCGCTTGCTAACTATGAAACGCAGGAACCCATATTGGTGTAGTCCACATATGTGCAATTAAAGCGAGTGTTAGCAGGAGACCTAACGGTGAATCACCCCAGCCCGCTGTTCACGTTAACTTCACTTGTACAACATGTTTAGGTCATATTACCGGGCTCATTTGGGCTCATCTAGCCACCTTCACTAAATAAATTTCGAAGAAATTATCACAATAAGTAGGCCCCGTTTCTAGGAGACCCACACAGATGGAATAAAATCATGGCTTATCACTGACGCAGGCCGAACGGTGCAACGCTAAATTCAGGGAACATATCAGCAGCCAAATGCTACAGACTTACATTGGGCCATACGGCAATCCAGTAGTTGTCTTCTGTGTTTTACATGATGTCTGCATAGGATCTAACGAAGGTGTAACAAGAGACGTATAACTGAAAAACCGTCTTAATCCACACGATGGAAACTGATGCAAAATAAGGCTTATTTCTCCCTGACGGACTCCTTCGGTAGATTCCATTTGACCACCGCTACTGTTACTTAGGACAAAAACTTATGTTGAGGTAGACGTCATGCAGACGCTATAACCTCAGAGGAACTTAGCGGAAACGCAGTCGCAATGTAAGCAAACAGCAGCCATTATAGGGTGTCTTGTATTTCGGGATGAAAACAGCTAATCAGGGATATCTGTAATCCACCGCTGAAAATTCTCCGGCAGCCCGTGACCTGTTACGCCCTTCTTGAGATTCAGCAGATATGCGCAGCCCCACGAGTTTCCGTCAACGTTCCGCTCTACTTGAAACCAGATTGTTCGAATTCGGCAAAATACACTCATTTGCAAACAAATCTGGTTTTGCGGGAGACTCACCTGGAACCCAGCTTAACTGCTCGTTTGTGAAGTTTTCAGGCAACTGAATGTGCTGCACCAGGACGCCTCATGTTTCGGTTGCTATGAGATC